AGTTACAGAGTGTGATGTACTTATATATAATAAAGACAGTATTTAGAGTGTATAAAGATCAACATTGTTGTGTTCCCTGTCCATCTCACCACATTTCAAGTCGTCCCTGATTATATTTCCAATAGGTTATGGGCCCAGTGCACGATTCCCCTGCGTGAGGAACATAGCACGAAAGTGTATATACGAAGTGTGTGAAACGCCGGCGAAGGGCATAGAAAGAGATAGAAGCATCTAGAAGATTAGAGGGTAAGTAAATAATATTCCTCGTTGCTGACGAGCAAAACGAGAGAATTCTCAGTTAATAAGAATGTTCGTTCGATAAATACTGTTACAAGGAGATAGATGTTTTTGCCATTTTTCTCGAGAAATAGAAATAGAGGTAATAATGGTAATAAGAGAATTAGAGAATAGATGCGTAAAGTGTAATAAAGAAGTAGAGAATAATGAAGCAAAAAGAGATAGAAAAATGCCGTTTGGTAACAGGCCGGCGACGTGCGCGTGCAAGTCCGATCGTGAACGGCGAGAGTCATTTCTTTTGGCGCGCAGAACTTGTTGCCGGGCGCGCACGAACACATAATCGATTTCAACTAACAAAATGGCATCGATGCAACATTATGATACACGCATAGATGTATGTACATGCGTATATATAAAACTCTATATGAGTTTATATTTATTTGAAATCGTTATGTATCGGGTCGGTAATCGAGCATGACTTGCTGTGCGGTGTAGCTTGATTACTGTTTAGGGAAGCCGCGTAAATTTGTATGGGCCCCGTGCGTGTGCGTGATCAACCCGAGCTCCCATAGATCTTTTCAGCAGTGCTGGGGATCGCAACGGACAGTGGTGTGCGCGTGCGGATAGCCCTGCAGAGACGCGTGGTTTTTCTCGCTTTGGGGTTATTGTGAATTGCAGTGCGTTCTATATAGCCTCAGAAGCATTAAATTTTTATCGCTGAAAGAGATCTAGTGATAGAAATTGTAAATTATTATTTATCAATACGAATGTTGGTTTATCTTGTCAAAAGAGGAATGCTAATGTTCAATTGAAATGTAAATCCCGATCTAGATGGAAAAAGAGACAGTGAATCTTTCGGTGGAGGAAGAAGGCCAAGATGCGCTGGTCGACTACGACAGCCATAGCAGCATTATCACGGTAATAGAAAGAGAAAAATAGCGAGGAGACAGTAAGAAAAGATAGAGGTAAGAGAGTATTTTTTTTGAAAATAAAGTAGTCCAGAAGAATAATATATATATGCATTCAGAGAAAATAAAAATAGTAATTTCAAAATTCCGTATAGAAGCAAAAAATAAAAAGGAGGAGACGGAAAGAAGAGGTGCAATCCCGAAAAAGAACTTGCCTAAAGTCAGAGAGAATATAGATGTAACCAAAGCATGGGAAGAGAACCGTCCAGTACTGCCAATTGGAACCAAAATATTATATGAAAAGCAAGAAAAATTGGTCGCAAAAATGGATAATTCGATGCAGATGCTAGACAAAGTAATGACGAAGGCCACCGAGATGATGGAGAATATAATGGAAGTCTCCCGTTTAAACTTAGAGAAAGAAAAAGTTAAACTTAGACGTTTAGAGGTAAGCAATAAAAATACCCAAAGTTCAGTAGAAAACAGTAAACAAACGGTTAAAGAACTAGAGGTAGAGTCTAAAAAGAGAAAATTAAATGAAATAACAGTCTGTTCAGCCGAAAAAGATAGGAGTTTAGAGACAATAAAAAGAGCTATAGAATTGGAATTGAACAGTCAAAGGTTGCATATTAGAAGAGAATATAAGCTGACGCAAAAATCCAACTTTGATCTTTGGATGGATTATTTAAAATCTGAGTTAATGAATAACGAGTTGTTAGATGTAATAGATTCAAACATTGAAAGTCCAGAAAATCTCTCCGAATTAAAAGTTGCTAAGAGAAAAAGTCTAGTTAGAGATATAATAATCAATCATTTAGATGAAAACTATCATAAAAGGATTTTACATGAAAAAGATCCGAAAGAAATTTTGAAGAAATTAAAAGGATATAAAAAGAGTGAAGTAAACGTTACTCATGTATCGGTACGAGCTAGACTCTATCAAATTAAAATGAGAAAAGACGAAAAAGTAAGTGATTTTTGTGAACGCTTCGATTCAATAATTAGAGAATATGAATCATGTAACGATGCGGTACCTCTCGCAGAACAAGAGATTAGATCTGCATTTTATCAGGCTGTGTCAATTAATGTACCAGAGCTGAGGAATGTAGATTTAATTAGAAGACAAACTAATCTTAAAAAAATGAACATAGATGAAATAAAGTCTTTTATGATGCAGTTAGAAGCAGAGACTAAAAACGAGAATAGAGAAAAATTAGAGAAACCCGAAGTCAGGGTACAGAGGGCTGCTGCAGAAGAGAACATGAAACAAGTGAAGTGCTACAGATGCAACCGAATGGGTCATATGGCGAAGGACTGTCCACTAATAGAATCTGGTGCCTGGTTTTGTTACTACTGCCAGGAGGTACGAGGTCACAAGGGTGATAATTGTCCGAGTGCCGAAGCCCAGGCGAACAGAGCTAGAGGAAAAAGATATTTAAATAAAACCGTTAATAAAAACATAAAGAAAAAGGGTAGATTTGTGCAAAAAGGCACAAAAAGAGTAGATAACAAAGGGAAAATAACCAAGATACAATCAGCTGAGAAACCTATATCAACGAAAACAGCAAATGAAGGAGAATCAGAAGAAGGTAAATTATACATGGTTAAATTAATAGAAGATAGAGATAGTTCAAAAGAGGTAGTCAATTTTACTGCAGATTCGGGTGCTACGGATCATATTGTGAATAAGAATTTTATTCTGTCAAATTTTGAAAAATGTAAAGATAGAGTTATTAAATGCGCGAATAAAATCGAGCTTGCAAACATTTTAATAGATGGTAAAGGAGATCTTTCGCTAATAACAAATGAAAAAGAAAAGAGAGTCATTAAATTAACAAATGTAATTGCAGCAAAGGAAGTATCCAAAAATTTACTATATCTAAGAAAGTTGGCTGCAGGGTTCAGTATTTATTTAAATGATAAAGTGTTTAAAGTTTACAATAAACTGACAAATAAAATAGTTTTTAAAGGAATTTACAGATGTAGAGCAGAAATTGTTACACATAGTGAGCTTCCTGAACAATCGCAAACAAACATTCAGAGCAATGAATTATCCATTTCGGAGGGAGAATTAGATGAGAAGGATAATGTTAGTTCTGCGATTGGGAGGAAGAATGAAGGAGAGCTCACAAATGTGAACAAAAATATAGAACACAACAATGCTGAACTCGAGCAAGTCATTAAGTTGGAGGATATACAGACAATAGAGAAAATAGAAGAAATGTGTGAAAGCTCAGTAACTGAAAAAGTAAAGAAATTAGAGAAAATAAATGAGGAGATGCTATGGCATGTTAGGTTAGATCATGAGTTGTTAAACTATCTA